GTGGTTTGAGTGAAGGGCTGTCTGCCGAAATTGCTGTGGTTTGAGCGGAGGCTGTCTCTCCCTGCCTGGCATAGCAACCCTAGGCTCAAGGGTACCTTGAAATTGCTGTTAAGCTTGAACTTACTGTCAAGGCACCATTGTAAAGAAAGGGCGGAGGCCGCCAAGGCGCACTTCGCCAGCTCTATCTCCACATTGAGGCAGACGCAGGCCGACCTCGAGAAGCAGCCAACTTGCGCCCTGCAACCCTTTCGCGATAAGCCTGTAGAAGAGAGGTTGGAGCAACGCAGAACCTTTTGGGCTGGTATCTGGGGTGCGTAGAACCGAGCAGCGACACGTCTCGCAGACATACGCCGCTCAAACCCGCATCCTCAATGCAGGTCAGAGAAACATTCAAAACCCTGGGAGCGCCCCCGGATGCTGGAGTTGGTGACCCGTCCCTTGCCAATATGAAGTTTACTGGCTCAAGGGATTCGGGCTTGGGCTAAGAAGCAAAGCCCTATCCTTAGCCCGGGTGACGAAACAGACAGACAATGCTTTTTTGGCTGATCACGTCCTTATAGCGCATCCTGAACATGTAGCGCTTGCTACTGAGGGTAGCGTTGGTAGCAGCTCTCAGCACGCGCTCCCTGGCAACGCTCAGACTGTCCCTAGAGCTAAGGGATGGGCGCTCCTCATGCTTTGTAAACTCGTTGAAGCTAAGCTTGTCTGTTGTTCTGACAGCCTCTTACGCACCAGAAGATTCAAGAAACTTAATGAGGTCCACGCAGACCTGAGGAGAGCCATAAGGAGGTTCATGAAGGCGGATTTGTGTCTTGAAATACGTACACAAACCGGTGGGAAGCACGCCAAGTTGCCGTGGATCCGCGCCCATCAGCTTTCTCCTGGCAAAGAATGCTCTTGTTGTTTGGACTTGAGGCTAACCGCTTGAGTCTGTTGCCTCAGAAGCGGCGGGTCGTGAAAGCGTGTTCCAGCAGGATTCCCCTTCGCAAGTTTGCAGCCTGGCAGGATCTGAGAACGTGCTACTTGCAAGTTCTTGCTGAGCGTGCGCAATTTTGTCGCAGTTGCGGTGAGGCCCGGGGCAAGACCCAAAGTCCAAAACTGGCTAAACCAAGGCGCAGTTTCTCCAGGCCCATTCGACGCATGTTTGGGGAAAGGTCGACAGGACGGGCTTCAGGCAGCGCGTGAGCTGCGGCCTGAGCGTCTCATCAAGATGGCATTTCAAGAAGGCGCAGCACGCGGCAAAAAGATTGCCTGCGTTCGCGCAGCGCGTGATCTCCGCGTTCTGGGGGTTCATCCTACTCATTCCCCATCTCTCATGTCTGAGTGGTGGAAGTGCCAGAGCTGGGAGGATCGTAGGATCCTCAAGTTGCAGAACACCTTGCGAGGCACTCCCATCTACTGCGGGCCAGGCTGCCGAAGGGCCTAGTTAACCTCGTCAAAACCGATTCTGGCTCGCTGTAAATAGCAAAAAACTGAAGGGCGTAGTCCACACCCCTTGCAGCTCCCTGGTGCACGTAGTCAGGGCAAGGGATCTTTGAAAAAGGCGGTTCCCGCTGAGACAAGCCATCGTTCACACCATTGCCATAGGCCCATTCACCGTCAGCTTTCTTGAGATTGTCCTGTTCCTTCATACTTCTAAGACAGTTTCGCTTACTGCGCGTCATCTGTGTGGCGTTGGCAGGGAAGGGCCAAGATTTCATCGTTGAAATCACGGCTGAAAGGCTGCTCTGTGTGGAGCTTCGCATCACCCCGACAATTTCAGTGGATGGATGCTCAGGTTGAGGGGAGGCAGCTGTGGGTCAGACTAGTTGCGTCACCATTTCACTCTTGATTGCGCAAACTCTACAGCCTGAGCATCGCGCGTTGCACCAACACGGAGGATCCAATGAAGATCTCCTTCTCGTGATACATGCGCATCACCAAGCGCCACGCATCTTTCACCTCGGAGCAACGCACAGGCCGGTGACCAGATGTCATCTAGCTCTTTCATTAGAGATCGGGAGCAGGTGATAGAACATTTTGATGTCATTGTGTCATCGGAGCAGCTAAAGAGGAGATCCTCGCTTTCCTGAAGGTGAAGTTGCCACGCAACATCACCGGCGCCAAGGGTTTGTGTGAACCTTCCAGGGTGAGACTCCAACAGATTGCGAGGTCGTAATCAAGTGTGTCAGGCAGTCCAAACCCAGTGATTTGCGCACAGCAAACACACCTGCCTCAAAGCGTTGCGGAGCCTGGTTCCGAGAGAAAAGGCGAATGGTACTCGTGGAGTCGGGCAACATGAAAATCTCGATCTTTTCACCCTGTGACGCCTGCGCGCTGACGTTTGGAAGGACCCCTTCCAACTCTCCAGGTTCTAGCGCGGAACGAAAATTTGAGGATGTTGAAACGTGCTCTTGCGCAGAGGATCGAGGTATGGTCTCGGGTCACAGCCACGGCGATCACGAAACTGCAGCCTATTAGCAGAGACAGCAGAGAATCTTCTTCCTCGGGGGAGACGTCCCAACTCAGGAAAGGGCACAGACGCACAAAGGCGATAAGGGCATTGACCACGCGCACGCAGGTGGGCGCTGAAGCCCTTTCAGGGATGAAATTATGTTCTCGTTTCTCGATGTCTTCAACTTTCTCAGCTGTCCGACCCATTTCTGGCGCAGACAAACTGCCAGCTCAAACCAAGCACACGGAAATGACGCAAGTCTATTAGAGTGCTCTGGCTGCCCCAAGAGGTAGAAGGCGCGGCGCTTTGACAGAGACCTCCATGATCTCGCTGTCAGCGCAAGAAGATGCCGCAGCACCAGGTACAGAAAAAGAAAGGCCAGACGCGCCAGGCCACATCCATCTAGCTTTCTTTGCCCGCGTTGTCTGGGCGTCCTCAATGATGCTCACCGTCTGCAAGCACCAGCCGGCAGGATTACGATAGTTCTACAAGTGGAACACGGGCCAGACTCTCGTGCTGAAATACGGGGCGGTCAAAGCATTTTGTGACTCCATGCCCTCCCAAACACTATCCTCAAAGGCGCACGCCGTCGTCTTCCAAGTCTTCCTTGAGGGTCGTCCGGAACGTCCTCAGCCTCCAAGTCAGCAACGGCAATATGCTGCCGGCAAATTGGCCATGTTGCCCGGAGCCACCAGACTCCCCAAATCCCGGCGTCTCAAAGGCGCTCACCGTCCTGAACATACCATGCGCGCCGTGCGCTCCTCTGCTGTGGTGAACGCGAATAAATTAGCTTCTCTCTGCCAAGGCAACCACATGAAGACCGAACTGCCCAAATCGCCCTCTTCAACCAGGTGCTTGAAAGATCCCCGCATCTTCTACACCCAACATGGGGTCACTGGCGGCCTTACCCACCCTGTCTCTAGCCAAGACGCAAGCAGAAGACCTCGATGCGATCTTGGACTGCAGTGATTGCCCAAGATTGCGTCCAGCAACCGTCTGCTTCAAATAGGAGCCGATTTGCAACCTTCACGCGGACGTTCCCATCCGTGGACTTTTCTGTGGGATCATGAGGGCCCCTTGGGCCGGGTGGTAGTATGACCGCCACAGCCGCCTGCTCTTCCCGGACTCCTGCCTATCCTCTCAAACGGGTGTCCAGCAAAGTGATCAGCTCGGCCCTCTCCATTTCTCACCAGCCCTTCAGGGGCGTTGCAGGCCGCCGCCTTTGGGCTAACCCTGTCTGACCTCGTGCTGACAATGTTTGCCTTGCAGGTGGCTATCGTCGGGTTGCGTCTGGCCTTCACTGCTGCGGCGCGCCAAGTTGGCCTTGAGCTGAAACCTGGGAAGGGTATAAGGTGGTCAGCTGTGGTGGGGCCGACAGCAAAGCAAACATGTGTGACTGCTCTGCAGAGGTCACACTCAACTCCTCTGATGCTTTCTCCTTCCTTGCAATGGAGCTCCCATCGGCCCAAGGCCCAGCCCCTGTTCCAGGAGCTTGCCGCCTTTCCCGATGCCCCGCGCTGTTGATCTTGCGATGCTGTGCCCTGTGTGTGTTGGCCGTCGCCGCTCACTGTGCTTTCCTTGCCGCTGTGACTGCCTACAACCAGGATGTTGCACCTGCCGACCGCCTATATACGTGTTCCTGTGTCGCCTCAGGCCAGTCAGCGTGAGCTGTCCCAAGTGCAGTGGTCTCGCAGCTCTTTGGACCAAACCGTGAGGCCGCCAGCTCCGCATCCTCGAGCTTCCGGGTGCGGGGGCTGGCTCCACGCACCCCCCTGTGAGGCAGGCTGTTTCGGTGCAACTTCGCCTGCGGCTGCAGGTTGTGCCGACCCTGCGTTGTTGTCCATGTCGAGATTGAGAAGCCCGGTCTCCTCCCCCTGCGCCCTCACCAGGATGCAACGCGGCCTGGCGCTCGCGGGGCTGGGCTCCGGCACCTTGCGGACGTGTGGCTCGCACAGTGGGGCTTGTACGGAGCTGCTGTTCTGCAGCTGTTGAAACTTATAAAAGGCGCGCAAGCGGGTACTCTCGGAGGCCTCATTGCTGGGCTTGCAGGCGACACCCCAGCAGCCAAGACAGACCGTCTCTTACAAGTGGCACGGGGGATGCCTCCCCGGTCGCGGAGCCGTGACGCTGGATGGTTCCTGAGTCCTTTGCTTGAAGAGCATAGGCGCAGCTCCCAGTTGCTACTGGATGAGTAGTAGCAGTAGTAACTGTAGCGATAGGTAGGGATAGCAGTAGCAGTGACAAAGGAATCACGCAGGAAGCTTGCAGTTGTGGAGCTTGCTTCTTCTGTTGCAATCGATACGATGGCAATCTCGTGCATGTTGGGGACTTGTTTCATATCACGAGACCCGTGAACGTACCGTGTGGGAGATGCGGGATGGAAGGCCGCATGTGCCTGAGAGGGTTCCAGCCTTATCCACCCCCACAGCCGCAGCCAAAGTGAACTCCAAATGCATCTTTCCATCTTGTTTTTCTGTTAGCATTGTGGGGATGGGCGTCACAAAGGACATGATAGGCCCGTTGGCAGGAACGGCAAGATGAGACAGAAGAATAGAGACAGGAGGACATGGAAGGAGAAGGATGGAAAGGGGGCTTGGTGGGACTCGGATTTTTTCGCCCCAGGTGGTTGCTGAACACCGGGTGGCCCAGGGCAATGTGCGCCATCAGCGGAGTGTGATAGACGGCAAGCAGGTTGCATGTTCGGCTCAAGGTACTACGGCTGACAGCAGACTTCCAGGCAGAGAATGCACTTCTGTTATCGTTTGACGTTTGCGTGTCGCAGTCTACAGGCGTTGCAGGCTAGCGCCGACCTTGCCAAGCGCAGGGCTGAGCGCTGCGATGCAGCAGAGGCTGAGGCTGCACGGATGCACGGTGAGATGGCAAGGCTGCGCTCAGAGGAGCTGCGCCTCCGGGCCTTGGAGACACGATTTGTTGAGGCTCAAAGCATCATGGAAGAAAGCGAGGCTACGGAAAGACGACTGGACCATATCATGCGAAGAGCAGATGCTGCTGAGCAACGAGCCCAGATTTCCGAAAGCCGTGCTAAGTCCTTGGAGTTGCAGCTCCTCACCGCAACGACAGACCTTGAAACATCACAGCTTGCCACACAAGAGGCACAGGAAAGAGAAGCGTCGCGAGCAGAAGAGCTCCGGAGTGCTGAGATAGAACGTGCTAAGCTGGAGAGTAGGCTAGAGAAGGCATTGCAAGAGCTTTCAGATCTGAAAGTCAGCAGCAGCGCATCAAGCCAACGGGCAGAATTGCATGTCGCCGAACTGAACTCGAAGCTGGATGACAGCCGCCTGCAATGTGAGCAAAGTTTCGATCATCTGAAAGCAGAGCGAAAGAAAAGCCAGGATGCAGAGCAAGCACTGCTGGCTCTCCAGGAAGAGTTGATCGCGCTGAAAAACCAGGATGCAAGCATGCATGCCGAACTGCGCGGGCTCCGAGAGGAGCAAGCCATCTTGCGAGAAGACCTTGCGCATGCCTGCGCCGCCCGAGAGGCTTCAGAACAACGTGTTGCTCCTCTTGCCGCTGAAGCATCACGGCAAAGACACGAGGCTTCCAAAGCAGAGCAGGAGGTGAAGTCGTGCCGATTGGAAATGGAGGCTACCAGAATGGCGCACTATGAGCAGGAGCTGCTGTGAATGCGAGCATGAAAGAGCTTGGATTTCTGGCATACCTCTTGTGAACGTTGTCGAAAGCCCTTGAGCCGAGTTCTTCAGGCATTTTCAGGAACATGCTTGCTAGCTTCAAATCGTGAGGGTTCTGACATTCTGACACCTTGCCTCTAGTATCTCCGGTTTCAGGACCGCGAAGTGCAGAGGTTGAGGGAACGTCTGGCCATACAAAATGATGAGTTGGAGAAGTTACAAACACTTCTGGTGAGGTTCTTATCTCTTCCTGCGAAGGTTGCATAACATATGCCGCTGGCATTGCTAATTTGCTTGCAAACCTCTAGGCGATGGGTGGCAGCTCTGGCCTCAACGCAAGATGTGTGAGAACAGCAGTCCATTGGTCCAAGGATATCACTTGGTATATCTGTAAACCTGAGGCGCAGATGATGTAGCTGCGGCTGCAACTTTGACCGCGCAAGCATATCTGCGGGGTCCATCCTTCCGTTTCAGAGATGAGCTGGCATTTGCCCGGAAAGAGGCTGGGCTGGGTTCAAAGAGTTTAATGACCGCTGATGAGCACTGCGTGCCAGACTCCGCGGAGTGGCTGCCCCGCATTGCCTCCCGCAGTTGTGAGCTGCCTAGAATGTCTGAAATCCAGCTGCAAATTTGTTGCAACGTCCAATGACTTTCTTCTGCTGTCGCTGAGACCCGGCGTTTGCAGTCTCCCCGATTGCAAGAAAGTCCACTAGCTTTGATGAAGGCCTTGCTGTGTAAATATGCGACTGGTAGGCAAGTGCCAGCACAGTAAGCACTGATGCCCAGGCACGAGCGACCTCCAGTTCACGGAGGCCAAGTGACTGCTCGTTGGATTTCATTCCATGTTGTGCAAAGTTTTCTCGTGAGCTAGGCCATCGAGCTTTGCCAGCACTGCTGCACCAGAAGGAGATGAGCTTTAGCCTACGAGTCCGTTCGGATATGCAAGGGCCAGAGAAAAGCTTTGGCCTTTCCGTCAAACTTGCGTACTTCGTTCATCACCCGGCTCTTTCTGTGTGCATTATCTGCTGAACCCTAACATTTCCTTTCGACAAGAGAAGCTGGTAGAGAATATCAAGGCAGCTTATAGGCTAATCTGTTGATCATGCTCTCAGTTGTATTTGATTCAGAAGTTTGATGATAGACACACAAGATGTGTGCAATGCATGAGCAGATGTACAGCCGAATGGACAGATTTGGGAGCCAGTCTGCAAAAGAGTGACAGGCGCTGGCGAAAGAGATCATAAGATTCGATTGGTCCCTGCCTGCTCATCTTGTACGATTTTTACCTCAAGTGCTGTGGAAAAAGTTGCAGCTCCTGAGGAACAGCAAACGCGAAGAACGAGCGCAAAGATGAACAACTTGAATAAGGGACTCTTGTTGAAATCAACTATCCTCTTACTACATAGGAATCTTGCTCACAGTTCGTATAGAAGTTTTGAGAATACTTGGAAGACCTTGAATCACAATCCCTAAATTTGTCGCACTTCGTGGACCAGTAGTGTAAGCTCCGAGTTCTTCGTTTCTGGTATGGTACTGCAGCAGCAATAGTGTTTGTCGTTCAGTCTGACACACGGCGGAATGTCATTTGCTGGCATCCATGACTGGGACTCCATGCAAGTGCACTCATCGTCACGAGCTCGGCAAGTTCAGAGACCAAAATGTTTGGCAGGAAGGTGTCCGCATTTTAGGTCTTTTCCGAAAGTTCCCAGAACCTTCTCGACGCCGGGGCACGGGCACCCAAGCTGCGTTGTCAGAGACGAAGAGGAACAGTGAGATTTTCTAGGCCCTTCGAATTTCAATCGAGGTACCCAGGGCATCCCATCGGGGGCCCACAGGCCGAGACCCCAGACCCTCCCAGGCATGCAGTGCCCCGCAATTGTGAAATGTCCCCAGCCGCATTTTTGCGCAGTTGACGTTGGGGTTGCCAGCCCCTGCGCTTCCAGGCTTCTGGGGCACTTCTCTATGCCTGTGGCTTTAAATGGCATTTGTATGAAGTGATGTTACTTGGGATAGTGCAAGTTTCGGAGTTACCACAGTGGGCCACATCTTCTGGGCAGTCTGCTCCTTTGGCAGGAGATGCTTCTCCATGCCACCCGCCGATGCTACTGGGCAGGCAGGGCAAGGAGAACCTGCTGGAGTCAGCGAGACCCTTGCTGTGTATTGGATGTGTGCAGGTCGCTCTCACACGCCATAGCTGCAACCCCGATGGTTCCTCAACCAGTCCCCTCATCCCCATCCGGATTGGTCCACTCGACGTCTCATTTGATGAGTATGGGACTATCTATCCCGCATTCTCAAGCGTCAATGTTTCAACCAGCAGGGCCCTTAGTCTTGCAGTGCCATGATTTGAAGCTATCACTGTCTTGTTGCATAGTTTGTAAGTACTAGCATTGTAGCTCATTTGTGCGCAGGCATCTGAAGACCTCTCCTCGTCCCTAGTGTCTTTGCATGTCATAGTCTCCAAGGCTACTTTTCAGTTCACGCTCGACACAGCCGACGCTTCGAAGCCGCCTCTGTCGAAATCAAGGACAGCAACTGAAGGAAGTTGCTGACTTCAGGTTGAACAATTCCCAGACTGCAGTCATTGTCAGGCAGGTGGAGCCCGTGGCATGCCAGGTGCAAGGGCTGGCGGTGAACCGTGCTCTGTGTTCTTGCAGCACCTGCAGTAACTGGAAGGTTCCACCTTCGTCCGCGACCATGCCCCAACAGGCAGGGCCGCCGTCATTGGCATCTTCCCAGCCATCCGCACGCCTGGCACGTTCAAGACAGCACGGGTGTATTTCACGCATTGAGAAGCGATGTCCTTCGAAGGTACGCTTCCAGGGTCTTCAGCGCCCTGAGCTTGGTGTGTGCCAGGACGCCAGACATCTCTGGGTGAGTGGTTTGCTTCTGCAAGCTGAAGAGGAGCCGATGAATGGTGACGAGCAGCTGAAGCAGTGTATTGCAGAATGCCGGATGGAAGTCGAGGTGGTTTGCAACTGAACCTATGACATGTGGGCTTTACAGATCGACAGGCCAAAGCAGCTGAGTGCCGTGGTCAAGGGCAAAAGCAGGGCCCACTGTGCCGTTGGCCAGACTGTGCCCTCAGAGACTTGACAGCTCAGGTACCTGGACCCAGACTTTCCTGCTGACTCTAGATCACTTTGGCTAAACCGCCCCTGAGCCCAGTGGATGACATGGTTGTCAGCTTCTGGTCTCCAACTTTTGACGACTGAGCCGCAGCAGTACCAAGCTCATGATTCAACCCAGCCTCTGTCGTTAAACCTAATGTTTGCGCTGTGCATGCAGAGATCGGCACCCGATCAGCCTTTGCAAGACCTTACCCTACTTGCACAGCAAGCAACATCACCACACACGACCGCAACTCATCAATCCAACTTGTGTGCAGCTTTGCTCAGAGTGATTGCTTCTGATTGCGCTGCCTCTTTTCAGGCATGGCAGTTGTCTTCCGTATTGAACCGTCTGGCAACATCTTGCGGTGGCTGCGCCAGGCAATGACAGAAGGCAGGAAGCTCTTCGTAGCGAAGCTGCCGACGGACAGCGACAAAATCTCTGATTTGTAGCTGAGAGTGGCCTGCCACTTTATATTTTATCACAGGACATCCGCGAGGATGAGATGCAGCAGGCTTCAGCGCATGAATTCTAAGCAGGAACCTGTGCATTAGGCCTCTGCTGCTCCAGGTCTTCAACACGTACGGGCCTGTTGAGGAGGTGGAACAGCCTGCTAGAGCTGCACTCTGCATGAGTTGACGGGGCATGCTGTAAGGTGATATTGATGGATGCAACACGCTCAAACAGACCAGACGAGGCATCTTTGCTTTTACGCTGCAGCTATGGAGATCTGTGCTTCTGCCCCTGCGCAGCGCACTGGCTTCATCATCTACAAGACCCAGGAAGCTGCCCGGACAGCTATGCAGGCGAGAGCAGAGCTTTGACAAAGCTTGTGCTCATACTGCGATCAGCTTTAATGGCCCCTGCCTTGGTGTAGGTCCTCAATAACGTTTATCGCTTCCGCGAGGACTCGCACTGCAATGTGAATTGTTGTTCTAGCCTGCCTTTGATCTAGGAGGCACCCGATGCCATTCACGTCAGCATGGCCCGCCCACGGGTCAAAGGCGACGGCAAGGGCAAGGGCAAAGACAAGGAGCACTGTGGAGAGACGCCAAGCCGTTTTTTGGAAATTTTTCGACAAGTGAAATGCACTTCCAGGATGCTCATAGTGGTCCTGACCGAGGCCAGTCTGGACAAGCTCCCACTACTTGACTTCAGACATCGATGCCAGGAGCAGGCGGGCCTGGCGGCTATTCGAGGCCCTGAACCCAGAAGATCCTCGCAACCCAACGCAGTCATCCGAGTCTGGTGGCAGGGATCCTCCTGGCCGTCCAGTCTACAGAGGCCGAAGCTCGAACTAAGTACCCCTTATGACTCTGACTTCTTTCTTCACAGGACATGAGAGGCAACGCGGATACGATCCTCGAGATGATGTCGAACCTCCGCGTGGCTATGATGCACCACGCAGAGATTACGACGATGCTGGACGATTTGACACACGTGGCCCTGAGTCTCGCTATGAACCTCGCCCGGACTTTGTGCACCGGGGATATGGACGTGAGGAATTCCGTCAGCAGCTGAGCGGGCGACAGTAGACATGTTTTCAGATGTGTTGCAGCCTGGGCCGCGCCGCATTCAAGCTACCAGCCGCATGGCAGTCCTTGTTGTGATGTCAATTCTATTTTCAAACGCTCGAACTGGCTAACATGGCTGACAAATGAGCTAAAGTCAGCGCAGCATTGCAAGGATCTCTGACCTGCTCATCAAACTAAAGCAGTCGGCGCAGTCCGCGAGCACTTGCATGTCCGCTTATCACTTATGCGGAGCCCAGGTGGCCCGGCGTAACACATTTCAAGCTGACACCTGTACACCCTCGAACGCGAACCTTGCACGTGCTGGTGGGACCGCAAGCCACGTTGGCCCATGCAGGCCTCAAATCTTCAAAACAAATCCAACGTCTTGATTCGTGGCCTCGCCCCTAGAACGGTGTAGGAGGAAAAAGCAAAGCGGCACTACAGTTCATTATTACAAACTTAAAAACATGTTCTTTGAGCCCGAACATGTTGAACATTTTCAGAAGGGACAGCATCTGGCGATGCCTGGAGCGGGTGAGCTTAGTAAGCGCCAAGGTCACGAGCGAGGATTCGCAAGAGATGCAAGAGATGCAAGAGATGATCGGGCCTATGATCGGGATCTCAGAGGTCCTGACAGGGGCTACGACCGATCCTTAGACCGGCCAGAAAGGGACCGGTATCGAGTCCGCGATGATCGATCACGCGAAAGATTACTGGACAGAGGTTATGACAGACCTCCAGATCGTGATTACTGGCCCGACAGAGATCGGTACGACAGAGGCGACTTCGACAGAGGCGACTTCGATCGAGGCTTGGAGCGAGAACGAGGTCGAGAGCGCGGTTCGGAGCGGGGCTTTGCCAGAGAACGGCCTGAGCGGCCGGGTGAGCGTCCGCCAAGCAAGTTTGGCATTTCAGTCATGCTGCAGTATGAAAACCTCTTCCGCCATCTTCCGCCAGGATATGAGAGTGAGAGGCCACCTGGTGGAAAAGATGGAGGCAAAGGTGGCCAAGGCCCAGGTGTTTATGTTGCAACCTGAACGGACTGGGCTAGGATTAGATCAGTTTGCCATTCATGCTTGTGTAGATGCGCTCGGCGATCTTTAGTCGGAGGTGGCGCCCCCGGCACGAAGATCTATGTCGGCAATCTACCCACCGACATCAACAAACAGGCTTGGTAAGTGACGCCATTGGATACTGACATTCCTACTGTATATTACTGTACATTCCTGAAAGATCTCAGCCATTGCCATCTCATTATGCATTTCAATCCTTTTGCACCGCGTATGGACTCATCGTTGCACTAAGCTCAAGCCCTCTGTGAAAAGTTGGCGCGTGCGTGTTCACATCACATGGCTTAACGGAGAACTGCTGCGGCATACTCCTGCATACAACTACTGGAAACTATAGGTTATCAGTCGTATCGCAGCTGGTGCCTGTAAAGCCTCCAAGCACAAGCGACCGCAATCAGTGCATGAGTACAGCGATAACGGACACCGATATGCCAAGCGCAGACGCATCTCCAGAGATGATACCAGCTTTCGGACTACCAAGCTCACTGATGCCCCCGGCGCCGGGAGGCCAAGGTGAGCTAGCGTTTGCGACTGCTGTTAGTGCTAATCCCTCAAGAGATACAGCAAACACAGCAATTCCAGGAGGTTTGCCTTCCGGTGGGAATCTGTATCAACAGGCCAATCAGTACAATCAGGCCAATCTGTATCAAAGCATGACAGTCATCAATCCTGCGTATACAGTACAATACAGTACAGCAAGTCAAATATGCCATGTCCCAGTTAATGGCGGAGGCTGCGAATGTAGCGACGGGGTACAAGAATGGGGCTTTGGAGATGAGGTTAGACAATCTAGAACAACAAGCCGCAAAGAGGCACTACGAAGTAGTTGCTCAACTTGAAAAGAACATCTCCAGCATTGAAGTCTGGGCCGCAGATCGTGATAAGCTCCTTGTAGCAGAGCTCCAGAGTCTGCAGGAACAACACATGGCAATGCAGTGGGACCAAGCAGGACACATCTCAATTGCGGAAGCACTCCAGGCCCGAACGCTCCAAGTAATCTACGCTAATGAAACGGCCGAGTTCGCCAAAGCAAATCAAGAGTTCCTAGCAGAATATTTTTAAACAAAACTTCACTAGGCTCCGAAGGGAAGAAGCATCCAGGTTTGCCCGAACGGAGGATGAAATGCGAGCTCAGAATGATGAAGCTCACTAAGAGCTCATGTCAGCGGAATGCGCACTAAGGTTATTCAGGAACAAGGCGCGGCGTTCCGAGGTTCCAGTGCCATGCGCCCCCCCTCTCATGAATTTCAGGACTGACAGGCATGGCAACAAATCCGGGTCCGACTGTACCACCAGGGCCCCATGTGCCAAAGCCACGTAGCATACCTGAGTCAATGCAGGATTGTTCTCCCAGATGAATGTAGGTCCACCAACCGCTGAAGTTTCAGGAGCACCCGGTCTCACTAAGCCTCCAGGTACGCCTAGATCAACTACTGGTCCCAAGGCCCCCAGAAGGTTTCAAAAGTGAAGGGGTTCCTGATCAAACATTTCTCCAGACCCAAAAAGTTCTGTTGGAAGCGGCCAACCTGCTCAAGGGAGAAGGCGCCCAGGAAGAGAAGCCCAAGACAAAAGAAGCGGAGTCAATCAAGCTCCCAGATTTTCCAAACCCAGAAACTTATCGAAGTTGGAAGACTGCAGCCCGGGAAGCTATCAGGGCAGCATCCGACAAGCCGGATGAAGCATTCCAGTGGATATTTGAGGTCTATGACAAAAGTTTTTGGCGCGAGAACGTGCAGGACCCCAAGAAGTTCTTCACCTTTAACACTAGCTGCCTTAATGAAGGTTGCCAAGGGTGAGCTCGCGCGACAAATCCTGAATTTCAAGGAGGTCGAAGCAGGATTCGGCAGGGCTGTCAGTGGGAGATACAAGTGACCAGTGTTTTAAGACAAATGAGGAAGTTGGCTCGCTATATTCTGTCGAAGATCTGCTTAAATTCAACTTGCTCAGCGACGATTTGTCGACTTTCATTCACAACTGGGAGTCGGTCATTGCAGGGATGTCACACATTCCAGATGAGGTTACCTTGAGGGAGTCAAATTCGGAAGAGTAGCAGAATCAAGTATGATCTGGAAATCTACGACAGGGCCAAAGAAGGTGCAAAGGAGTGCAAAGCATCAAGGACCTCCTCACTAGAGGAAGGATGAGGAAGAACAGGGACCGTATTGCAAAGTCGCGTGGTGAGAAGTATGGTGCCCCGGCTCCAACAAAGCCCAACTCTACACGCCCCTCGTCGCGGGGAGGAAGGCAGGTCTAGTTCCAGGGATAATAGCCGAAGCTCCAAGAGATCCAGGAATTCCTCAAGATCAAGTAGCCCAAAGAGTCCAAGAGCGGTGGGCCACGACTTCCAAAAGGGAAAAGTGCACAAGGGGTGATAAGTGCAAGTTTCTCCGCAAGGCAAGAACCCCTTCCCCAAAGTAGACAAGCCTGAACAGCTCAACAAATCCGGAAAAAAGATCAGT